ACACACGTGCTCTGATGCAGGGCAGTCACGGATGTCACTGGCAGCACAATTACATATGCAGAGGAGAGGCCTTGTTCCCTCCTCAGCATCAAAGCCGCTCGTTTTTACGCTCCACTGAAATCCGTCGCTGGTGGTGACACCGCAAGGGGAGCAGGTGCAGCCGTTTCAGTCACTCTCCTGTTGAAATATGCCTCTAATTTGGTGCCAAAATCACACATCGTGCATCAGGGCCGCTCCGCTCGCCGGCCTGGACGTCCACGGTGACTCGTTCGCCGACGCCATTGCGAGCCGTGCCGCGGACACGGCTCCGCCTCCGTCTGCATCACGTGATGTGAGAGGTCATCGTTTTATTCCCCTCCCCGTTTGCCTTGGCGGGGGCGACCCCCTGATGGTGCCGTAGTGTCACTCATGGTTTATGGGAACTCCATGTGTCATGTTCCGCATACACGTGAACTGTTCTGTGTTAGCCAGCTGAAGTGAAACTCGCTGCTGAGATGGGTGGCCATCTGAGAGGATGCCAAGAAGCACCTTTGTGTCCCAGACAGGGAGTATTATATGGGATTCTTTGCATATTATAATGTAAAGCATCGGTGGACAGCCAATGGGAAGCACTGAGACATAGAGAATGACCATAGCACTACTAAAAAGCAAATGTGATTGGGCCAGCCGGCAAGGTACAGTGAAATAAGCTGATTTTGATTGTTAAAGCTTTTGTATTACTTTGTCTCTCTGTGGATTTCCTTTGGAAAACGAAGGTTTTGCTTGTGTCTTTTACTAAGAATTACACTGCAGGAAAGGTACACTGCTATTATAGTGCTATGTAACATTCACAAAAAGACAACCTCGTCTGAAACAAAATGTTATTATATAAGCTTCTAATTACTCTTCAAAGCAGCTTTAGTCTGTAAAGTGATACCTTTTTATAAGCAATAGATCTGTGGCAGTGTTCTAATGACTGGGGCGAAACTGCATCAACTCAAGGCAATGCATAGACAATCAGTGAGTGAACCCAGCTCACACAACTGACACACGCGTGAGCANGTTGTGCTGCAAAATGTGAGAATATCTCGAATCGTTAAATCAAGGAATGTTATATATTCTAGCTATTTTTTACGAATGCACCGTTCTGGGAAGGAGACTGTACGACAGTAAGCATCCAATACTCACCGAGACACATAAACAAAATACTATTTTACAGCGAAAAAGGTTGTATATTTTCAGACTGCAGATATTTTTTACAGATATTATATGCATAAAATAAATACTTGCTGTTTTAAAAACAGGGCAATCGACATTTTCTCATATTTATAGCGAGAGCAGTATACTGTTGAAACATACTCATATAAGATTGATACATAACTATCAATACAAGCTGTTTCAGTGTTAATCTGACCATTCCAATAGGGAGGCTTGAAACAGAGATCAGAGCTGATCTGTTGTAAGACACAGTTCCACTCCCCTGGAAGGCTGCACCTTCTCATTCTATTGAAAAAACATCCATCCATCCAGGTGTAAACCTTTCAGAAGCCAATGCCATAGAAGATCATCACTCTAGCCCAGAAATCCACCATAGGGAAGAAAAAAATCATAGCACAGAATTTTTCTGCTTAAATCTTCATTTCACATAAAAGCAGACAGAGTTGCACGGAACACGTCACTAGCGGTGCTGCCTGCTCCTACGCATTTTTGGTCACGGGATGCGTTCGTAAAACTGGCGAAATGGTTGCTTTGTTCCAGTTTGTGTAGCACGGAGCTGTCGACTGGCAGCACGGTCAGGAGAAACTGAAAATTTTCTGGTATTCTGGTTGCGAGTATTTGTATTAAAGTATTAACGGGATGATGATGATGATCTTGTTTGCACTTAATGTGAATTGGCTCTGATAATAAAGACAGCTTGGAGAACTCCCTAGAATTTCACATGGATTCGTCTCTAAATGTTGTCATTTGAAGGGCAATTCCAGCATTACGGATGTGACATTTAGACTCATAATGGCGAGCAGGATGCCTAAGTGTGGACAAGCTTAGTATCAATGAGTCAATTTGCATATATTTTCATGTAACCTCTTGGGTTAAATAAATCCTCAAAATTCATATATTCATTCACATGTTTCATCAGCATTATGGATGTGACAAAAGGACAGGCTTATGGGAAACTACAGATGTTCTATAAACTGTGAATTTTACAGACAATTGCAGGAAGCATAATATGTGTAACATGACTTGAATGAACACAAAAAGTAAAGATTTGAAAATAATTGTTGTTTTTTGGGGGGGGGGAATTAAGGAAAAACTGGCATTATGGATGTGACATTTTTACGTTATGGATGTGACATTTTTACGTTATGGATGTGACCAGCCCTCCACAGACTATAAAAACCATATGCTTGCATGGTTGATTTTTATATAAAAGAATTGAAAGAGTAAATAGAGAATAAAACTAACAATGAATTGAGAAATTTAGACATAAGTGGACATTTTAAAAGCAGTCCTGTTTCTGTGATCACTTTATTTTTCTATGGTAAGGCTGACATTTGCATGGAATTGCCCAAATTTTTTTATTATTTTTTAATCTACGCGTGCGTTATATATCACTTTAAGTGTAACTTTATAGTTTCCGTAATGAATAAAAATAAATAGGAATCATGACAGCAGCATAAAAGCAGGACATGAAGGTCAGTCTGTGGTCAAATGGGGGGGAAGATAATCTCTTTTGAAAAGACCACATGCTGGGACGGAGAGGACTGCACAGTGGAACACTCATCACATAAAAACCACTCTAGATAATTGAAAACCTATCATGCCGCAATGACCTATGAGCTGTAGATGTCAGAGTGACACCTGATTTTTTGGGCGTGGTCAATAGTAACCAGACAAGGCAAAGACTACGCTCCACACAAAACCCACGACTCTCAAGATTTACAGTGATGTTCAACGATGGATTCTCTATTTTCTCTCATTTCCCCCATGGCAAGTGAAAGTTATGGTAAAGTAATTAAAATTAATTTACAAAGTACTAAACTGTAGAAAGGACGTAATGAGATAAAATCAGATTTAATGGTTAAAAGGCCAGTTTTTTTAATACGAAGCACAAACATAATGATGTAGCAATTATCAATATTTAATGTAAACACACTATATCACAATGTTTTAAAAGTTACAGATATATTACCTGAATTAAGATTTATAAAATATTACGAGGTTATAACACATCTGGTGCCCATAAACGTAGTTTTGAAATACTGGCATCAAACAGATAGCAGTCTTGAATATACACAATGATTAATGCCATTTGGCACACTCTCGGGGAATTGCCCCACACTGAAAAGTTCAGAAATTGTATTTCTCTCTCTTCACCAAGCTTATCCCCTCAAAATACCACTGCTTTGCTGAACATCACAAATAACATACCTTTTCCAAGCCTGTCAGCTAAATGGGTTTATCTACAGTCCTGGGTGTATTTTGCTTCACTGGAGTGCTTGAAATTGCTTACAGTACAGAAGAAGATTTTTTTTAAAAAAAACTAGAATGCACCAGTTCCATACTCATAAACATACATTTATAATTCTAATATCTTGTTAGCTTTGATTAGCTGAATGATGTTTCATATTATCAGGAATAAATGACCAAAACACATCACACCACAAGCATAATTTAGCAGAGGTAGATAGTGCAGGTTCAGAAAGTACAAACCCAACCAGGTGAGTATAGAAAGTCACATTCACAGAGTAATCAAGTTGGTTGAAACAAAATCTTGTTCTGAATTTGTACTTTCTAGATCTGAAACTTCCATCGCTGCAATTTAGGTACATAAAACTAGTTTAAAATACTACAGCAAAGAGTACTTTTTTGACATTTCGAAGTAAATAAAGATTTATATGTTTGAATTGATAGCACACCCAGTGGGGTAATAGTGGCCTAATAATTTGGGAAGCGTACTTCCATTTGACAAGGTTGCTGGTTCAAATCCCTGACCAGTAAGGTCACCCCCCCCCCCCCATGTCATAATGTCACATATGGGATAAATGCAGAGGGCATATTTCATTGTTGGTCTGTGGTGTGTTGACAATTGATCACTTAAGAAGAAGTAACATTTGTAGGCCTATAATATTCACATTTCAGTATACTGCATTTTTTTTCCCATCTGGTTATACTGAGGTATCTTGAAATCTTGATGGTAAGATTTCCCATATATTTTAGCTACCATTATAGCCCTTAGTCCTGGGACAGGAAATTCAGCTTTTTGTACTTCTCATGCAATCACTCATTGTCAACAGGACGTCTTACCCGATGCCTGAAAACGCAAATAAAACTACACTTTTTCAAGATGTAATAAAAAACGTTTAAATGAAGTATTTATCTAGCAGCTATTAATCGTTAGTATTTGCAGGGACAGCATATTTTGTAAGATTGTTTTAACGAGAAAATATGCCAACATGCAATACCGGTCCTAGCCGATGGCAGGCCCCCTCAGGTGGCCCCCTAGGCGGCCGCTTATGTCGCCTGTAGGATTGAGCGGCCCTGGAGCCGCCAAGATGATGGCTAGACTTCATACCCACCGGTGAAATCCGCAAATACTAGCCAGTTACATACCGAGTCTGGAGGATCCTGACATTTAAAGATATTTAGTTTTTAAGCATAATATACAACGGTTACACTATGTGAGTACAATACCTGGTAAACTAAGCAGAAACTGTACTTACCTAACTAGCTAATCTAAGGAAACAAATAGACCTAAGAGGATTCACCGTGCACTGCTGTAAAAAAATGGGACTTTTTTGTGCTGAAAGCAATTTCAGCAGCTAATAAACGTAAATGAAGGCACAACTTACCGGGAGCAGGCAAAAATGTCTTTTGCGCTAAAACCAATCGATTAATCCCCGAAATGGGGGAAGTTGATTAATTGTCACGTGACCCGTTGCTTTCAGGCCTGCTCGTGCATGTGGTGTGTGACTATAGGATCCTACTGTGCAGTACTGGCATTGGTACTGGGTCCGATACGGTACTCACACAGTCGTACTTTTCCTCGTGACAATGTGCCGATACCAAGGACCCGTCTAGCCGATACCACGTGATTCATGACGTACTGTATCAGTATCGTTGACGAGCAAAATATACGGGACCGCAAAATGTCTGCGGAGTGGAAGTACTTCAAAACTGACGAAAGAATCCAAAGCACAGCGGACTGTAGACTCTGTTCTGCTAAAATACCAAGAAAGTGTACGAAACGGTTTCATACAAGATGAGTGATCTAAAGTACAAAATGTAGGTAAGTTGCCACCGGAAACAACCGTCGAGCAAACACAGTGACAAGCACGGAGAGACACGATATCAAACGATAACCCTCGCGCAGTCAAAAAAACAAACACTCAGTGTATTTTACAGAAAAATCTACAGTAGGCTATATGCGTATGTAAAATGTGATACAGAAACGCGTGCCATATACAATATATAAATGTGTTAAAATGTATATAACCACACAGAAGTGAGTATACACTGAAACTACGTAGTAGTAGAACTCCGTATAACATCATAAACATACTATTAAGGAATTAGCGGAGCTGGCTTTACTTGGCATCAGACTGCAGTAAAAGTCTGTCTTCTGTGTGGATAACCTACTCCTGCCAGCAGTAGGTTAACATGTATATGCAGGGCAGCATTTTGATTTGCTGATGCAATACTACTTGGCCAATGACACGAAACTTTCAAAAATGGCGAATAAGTAATGATCTTTCATTACTGCTAATCAAAGCCCTGGCAACATATACAGACCTATAATTAATGCTGAGTATGCTAAATTATTGATGTTTGACAACTGGCTCTTTGCAATTGTCAAGTTTGGTTAATGTGCTGACACAATGAAACTAGCCTTTAAAATTGCAATAGTCTGCCAGAAAACTCCATAAATAAACAAATAAGGTTTAAAATAGAGATGTCTAGGTGTGTGTGGGCCCTCATAGGTGTGTAAATATTACCATGTTTAAGGTAGTTTATGCTTCTTTCGCATCACCACAGGGCTGAGGATGTCAAGGTGTTCTGAGATCAGTGAAAACTGCACATAAGCTGTTGCTGTCCAACCCAGATCTAAGACTGTACTCTGATGCTTCAGACTGAACTGCATGATGGGAGATCAGTGCCCAGGTGCCAACCTACCCTTTGTGTCTAGCCTGCCATTGGTCTAGGATCCTTCACTTTCAAAATGCTGCTCGTCTTGGGTGAAGAAATCATTTGCAGTTCATCCAGTAAAAAAAAAAAGTTTCACTTCATGATTGTACCTGCAATCATGTAGTTTTAAAATGGGAAGTAGAAATCTTATAGTTTTTTTTTTGTTTTTTTGATCTGGAAGCTTGTTTGATTCCAACAGCGACTACCTTTTTTACTACCTGGAATCTTATGGTAATTGGAGTTTGTCTTTGATTACAGAGAAAGAAAGGGGAGTCCGCAATGTGACAGGTTCATTTTCAGCTCTGCTGCAGTGGAATGGATTGTCACAGTCCGAAGTCCACGTTCCCTGACCAGCCCGGCCCCTTCTTTCCAGCCATTCACAATCACGCCAAAGGCCTGGTGTTTCCCATTGGATGTTATCTGGCTGTTCCAGCCCACTTTCTCACTTGCAGTGGGGCAGAACCAGCATTTTCATCACAGGATGTTTCAATATGGGACATTCCAGTGGAGCTGCCCCTAGTGGACAGACTGAATGAGTTTAAGCCAAATCACCCTGCAACACATTACAGCTCCTTTCCCCTCACGTCACCATAAATAACACTCACTTGCCCCAGAGACATGGCTTTTCTTCTTCACTTTCATTGGTGATGGCTGGGTCATTTCAACATACAAATTCATATAAGCTTGACAGGCTAATGTGGAGAACAGAAGAGCTATGCTAAGAGCTATTTTCTGTGCAGCAAACCTGGGGCAACAAAAGTCTTTTCTGTTTACTGGTGTTTGGTGGGGAGAAGCACTAGCTGATCGCGTCTCCCACAAATACATTGCGCTGCTTCCTTTTGCTCTGTGTCGCCCCCAACAGGTGCACTCCAGCACTCACCATTGAGAGGGTTAGATTACTCAATATCAGGAGAGAGGACATACAAAAAGAAAGAAAGAAATGAATTAAGGAAACACAGGAAGCAGGGAACATAAGAACATAAGGGAGTGTGGTATTAAGAAGCAGAAGGTTATGGGTTTTGATTGAGATGTTTCGTGGATCTCTGAGCAGGGAGCCCAAACCAGTAGCATGTCCTGGAACATCCATATCTCCATTCATACACCACTGAGGTTCACTGGATCTGTGTGCATCTGAAGAGATGTTCCAGACTCACTTTGAAAAATGACATAATGCAAAATTGCCTTTTTTTCTAGAGACTTAAAGACCTTGCAGCATAACACTTTTTGGGGCATCTTCTCCACTAGCTGTAGTAATTGATTACAGTACATTTTACTCCACAATCAAAGGAATTTAACCATTTTAATGCTTTAATTTTGCTTCTGTTAATTACATATCCCACTATACCACAAACACAAGTTATAACCAGCATATCAGCAGATAATAGGGGACGGTAAAAATAGATGTTTAAAATGTATATAGAATGCATGGAGGAAACGCGCAGTGTGTCCACGAGCCATGAACGCCCCGTTAGGCTTGCTTTTTACTGAATATATGTATAAGCAAACTTGGGTAAGAACCACTGAAAACGGAATTTTTGGCCTCAAGAACAGTTCAGCAGCTCAGTGTAAATTGGTCTTCTGTTCTGCAAGGAAATTGTGAACGTTATCCCGCCCCCCCTCTAAAAATTCTTTTTAAACCGAACAACTCAGGGCAATCGTACGCTGCCCTCTGCTGCTGAGAAAAAAAACGACTCACTAGTCATTCTGCTGCCAGTTTAAAATTTCACTTTTTAATAATATGTCTAAACCGCAATTAAATTGAGACAGGTACTTCTTGTACAAATCGTTTGTGTAAATCTTAAGCTGCTCGTGCCCTTGAAATTAATATATTAAATATAGAAGGTATTAAAAGTAAAATGCAACCCCCCGAAGTGTGCCTTACAAGCCTTAGAACAGGCAGCCGTCTCCGGAAAATATTCACTTTTATACGGATGGCCGGGAGGAGGGGGGAAAAAGTGTTTAAAAGCCAATTTTTAACTTGGTGAGAACAAACGGTACTTGTGAAGTAACATAGAACAGCGCTTGTAAAATGGCTCTCCGCTGGCTGCGCATTAAGACGGTGAAGATCCAATTCGCAAGCATTTTTTGTTGTTATTTCACCGTTAGACGGTGCAACATAGAACAGTCTGTGCTCTGTCATGACTAATTCATTTAATTTAGTCAGATGGGGAAACGCTACTTTGCCCTGCAAATGGCCGTGTTTTGATCCGCTCTGTCTGGGCTTCGGCTGTAATAAATTAAATTACCCAAAGGTGTCACATGTTCAACCATGCGAGTGTATTAAATGTGAGTATATTAGATGTATAACAGAATTTCACTCTTTAAAATGTGAGTACATAATACACATTTGTGAATAAAGTTTCCCAGCATATGATTCAGTATATATGTTTATTAATATGCATATATTTATATATTTATATATATATATCTATATAAATCTAAGTATATGCTTTCACAAAAAAACTAAGACCACAGTTTAGCATTTTACATATTACATGAACAGAAAAATAACGGCACAGCGCGAAGTGCTCCCTCTGCTGGGGAGAGGTGAGAAGAACAGAACACATGCGGGTCCGTCAACTACGCCCCGACTCCCCGCCATCCACCCACCGCTTCCTTCCGTTCGTTCACTTCCTTGCAATCGCTTGCTTTGTATCGTCTGAACGATTCAGACGATGATTATGTTACAGTAGGTTCAAAGATAGACATATCAGCTGGGTGACTGGTAAGCGGGGCTGTCACTACACTCCATATCAGGGCTGGTCTTTGAAACTGCTATGCAGCATTTACACTCCTGCTCCTCATCCTCCTCCCCTGACCGCTTTTGATCTGTCCCTTTATCCTCTGTTTGCTGTGCTGTTGGTCACATTAGCAGATTGTAAAAGCGTTATCTTTACATTCGTTGTAGTGAAAATGATACCGCCATTCTTGTGCTGACCACAAGGGGGCAGTCACATGTATCCATCCCATTCTGCTCTCTGGCATGTTCCCATATCGTTTTAGTGCCCCCAAGCAAAGGGGAATGCGAGAAATTAAGCTAAGTTAGGCTTTGTGTAGAATTGTTTTATACAGTCAAACTTGGAAGCAGTCCAGCGATTTCAGAAATCGGCGCCATATTTGGTGGCGGGCGGCGTTAATGCGGCAAGGGGACGGCTCTCAGCCCCGACTGGGCGGATGCCGATTCACCAAAGTCGCACAATGACAATCTGAACGTTTTTTTCACTGCTTTCAAAATACCCCACGTTACAATTATAGAGTTATCATACGCACACAACTGCACCATTAGCTACAACTGAAATATAGAGTGCCTTTTTCTTTAAATAAGTTTGAGGGAGAAGGAGGAGGATTAAAAATTAAAATTAAGGAACTGATTAAACATCAAAAAGGACCGACTCCTCCCCCAGCAACCAAGGAGGCGCCGACACCGACCAATCACAAACAGCCATGCATTAGCAGCAATTCCACATTCTAAACATGGTCGGGATCACCCCTTTTTTTTTTTTTGAGCACGGACTCAGAGAGATCTGAGACCTCGGCCTCAGACAGAGGTTCCTTATCATGCAGCAGCCGCGTCACTAAATACCCACTGCCTTCGGCCAAACGCGGGTCCTTTGTGATACGCCGAACAGAAATAACAGTCCTATCTCCAAAAAAAAAAAAAAAAAAAAAAAAACAGACCCCATGACGACAGTAACGACAGAAGACAGAACGGGTCATATATTGCACTAACGATGCAATAATACTATGTCTCAACGATATAAAAGGTGCTTCCAAAACGCCCGCACCCACGCACACACAGACGCAGCGTGTGAATGTGTGTGTGTGCGTGTGTGTGCTTGTTCTACAAACACAGGCGTGTAAAGCCTTACAGTACAATGATTTACGTTTCCCCGCCCCGTGGTCCTTTATGCCCACAATCTCGACTTGTGAAGGAAAGAGCACAAAGTCTGTGCAATTAAAAAGAACGTTTTCAGGAGTAGGGAAGGGGGAGACAGGAACCATGTGGCCCGTGACCTCAGGGGTGGACCTTGAAGGCCAGGAGTTGCTCGGAGTGCATGTTGTTGAGGGAGCGGAGGTCGGGCAGCTTCAGCAGAAGCTTGGTGAAGGTCGCTGCCTCGTTGGGGTGGTTCTTCAGGACCAGGCTCCTCAGAGCCCGAATCAGGGTCTCCTGCAAGGCCTCCACCGAGTTTACGTTCTCGATGCCCGAGCGGTCTGTGGGAGACAGACAGCAGAGGGCGCCTGTTATCACTGCAGAGCAAAACCGCCAATGACAAACAACCACAGAGGGTGGTAATGACTGGGGGGCTCACCGGCAGACACCAGGACAACAGCAGTGAAGAGGCTCATCTCCTCCTCGGTCAGGTTCAAGGCCATCAGCTTCTGGCTGAAGTCAAACATGGAGTTGAGCAGGTCTCCGGCGCCCATAGTGCGCAGCGCTTCCACGCTGTACTTCTTGCCGCTCAAGAACGTCACGGTGCGTTCTTTGGCGTCGAACAGCGACGCGAAGCGCACCACTAACACCTGTGAGGACGGCAGTGACGCACGGGCTGAGGAATGAGGTACAGCGCACAGGCAGGACGAGTATCATGCACGTCAAGTTATTAATGTCGTTGAAGCCGCTAACGGTGAACCCACCTCGAACGTGCCAGCCTTCAGCAGGCTGACCTGGTCGTGCTGGGACAGATCGCGGAAGCCGGGAATCCGCTTCGCAAACTCCACCACCTCCCGCACGGCCGGCGTGAAGCTCATGGAGAACTCCAACCAGATGCTGTGGCCAGACTTCCTCGGGTCAACATAGGGCGACATGCTCATGGGGCACACCTTGGGGAGAGAGTGACGCGGCGGGGATCCAATCAGAGTGATTGTTGTAAGGAAGACGACGGCCCTGTCATAAATGCGAATCGGAAAACCCCGCCCACTCCCACCATGTGACCAGTGAGTCTTACCAAGTGCATCCTGTTTCCTCTATTCCACACTGGCCCACTGAAGCCGTCAGACATGGTCTCGTTGGCATTTTCTGCTCTGTTGGATGGGCCGTGGGCGTAGGCTGGACAGTGACCCACGGGGGAGCTGCTGGGCTGCCCTACTGGGCAGTAGTTGAGCAAGGCGTAGCCCCCGTTGGACCTCTGGGTGCCATGAGGCAGGTAGCTGCCAGAGATGCTGGTGTGGTTGGCATGGAGGCTCTGAGCTTCCGGCTTCCCCCCCGTACCAACACCGTCGCCACTGGGTACCGCCATCTTGGTGAAAGCCAGGGTGGGCGTGGACTGTGCAGGCGGGCTGGACCGATCCTGGTTGTACATGAAGGTCTCCTGATGCGCCCTCGTCACCGAGCCGATGACCTCCTCCTCGCCGCTGTCCGAGGCGGAGCTGAGAGAGGTTTCCATGATGACCTGGGGCTCAGGCTCCGGGCCAGGCTCTTGCAGACTGGAGCGCGGTGAAGACACGGGCGAGCAGGAGGAAGGAGAGGGGCTGGGGTCCTCTGGGGTCATTTCGGGGCAGGGTGGGGCCTGGCTCCCAAGGGGCGGGGCCTGGTTGTCATGGAGCTGGCCGTGCATCGGGTTGCTGTTCATGATGTTGTTCATGGCGCTCTGCATCTCCAGCAGCATGCGCTGCTTCTCTCGCTTGGGGATGCGGCCGAAACGAACAGCTGAGGTGGAGAGAGCGAGGGAAAAAAAAAACACTGTTTAATAGCGCTGCTTGGCTCTGCTGTGTCCATTTTTTATTGATAAATAGGCAGGCGCATAGACTTTACGATTTCCCAGGGGTAAGATGAAGTGCAAACACTGGCACCATCGAACAAATCAAACATCAATTACGCGAAAGAAGAGATGATGAAAAACAGGAAATGAGAGAGGTGTAAAAGAGGGGGCCGCCCACCGTCGCGGGACATGCCAACTAGCAGACACTTTTTGAAGCGGCACTGCTGGCACCGGTTCCGGTTGATCCGCATGATGGGGCAGCTTTCGTTCTTAAGGCACTTCTTGTACTGGATGTTCTGCTGGATGCTCCTTCGGAAGAAGCCCTGTTGGGGAGGAGGGGCTTCATCAGGCACGTGACTCCAGGTACACAAGTAGGCCATGGGGAGGGATGGGGGGGGGGTTTGGTGAGTCTGAATAAACTGCACTGCTTTGCGGGGGGGGGGAGTTTTCCTAGGCTGAACTGGAGCATGCAGCACCATGCAGGCGGCATCTTGGAGTGACCCAGATCGAACAGAAATCCCTGGAACGGCGAGATGGCATTAAAACTAATGGAAAGCATCTGGGCACTAATGCAGGAAATGGAATGTGATGCTAAACGATGGCAAACGAACTGGAATGTTATTAAATGCCATTGATTCAGGCCTAAGAATGTTAAAAACTAATGGCTGGATAATTGGCTTATCGTGTCACTGAACCAACTTGACCTGCAAATTCTGAGCGCAGGCAGGATGCCTGGAACCATGTCTAATTTTGGGCTGTATCTGACATTCTTTTGCCCGAGGCAAGGACTCCGAGCAGGTCAGGGTGTTTCGGCTCAGTGGAGTAACTGTGCCTTGCAATGCCTCGCTGGACACCAGCAGGTGAACTGACAGCCCTCGCCTGCAGGGGGCGATGATGAGCGGCACAGTGTGATACACCCTGAACACACCACCGCTCTGATACGGGTCACAGCAAAACCAGCTAATGTCAGCAGAAGCTGAAGGGCATATCTAATAACAATTCAGACCATAGATTTAAATCTGCAAAAATCAGTCAGGTATTAAAGAACAGTGTCTCAATATTAGACTGCAATATGGTCTGGTTTCCAACAGAGCAGAAACTGGTGGCTGAACTGGTTCTTTGGTCTCAAACTCCTAACCCATTTCAGTCCACTGACTTTGCGCAGCAGTCACGGTCGTTCACGGTCTTGTTCTCGGCCCTCATCCTCACCTTGCAGCCCTCGCAGGCGTGAACGCCGTAGTGGAACCCTGAGGCCACATCTCCGCACACCTTACACAGTAGCACCAGCCCGTTGATCTCTGCAGCACAGGACACAGACAAGCATTAATCACGACTGCTGCCGTTCCCCACGACCTCAGTTAAAGGTGTAGGACAGCAAAATCAACAAATGATCCCAATACCGCAGTGCGTGAAAATAACGCGCTATGAAACACGCCACGTGACAATCCGTCTCAGCCATCACTCACTCGTGATGCCGCATTTGGTGGTGGAGGGGGTGCGTCCCGCCTTGGGGTTGCTGTGCACCCGCTGGGGGGCTTGGTTAGGGCTGGAGAGGGGGGCATCCGCAGGCCTGGCCTGCCGCCAGCTGGGGAAGGAGTTGTGGGGGGGGGAGGAGGACTGGTAGCTGCCGTTGGAGCTGTCGCTGTGGCACGACTCGGGGCTGGAGGAGGAGCTGGCGGAGCTGATGTACGCGATCACACCTCCTGCCAAGGAAACAGAGTGTCAGAGGATCTCTGCTGAATAACCTGATTAAGGGGACATGCAGAAACTATACTATGCAGTAAAATATGAAGAAAGTGATAAAAAAAAATCCTATTAAAATTTTGTACAAGTAAGAAATAGGACAAATCCGTGTAATGTTGATAGTGCAATGTTCTCCTGATGGAATGCTGTTTCTCGCTATAAAACCAAAGTCTCCAGACAGCAGGAAGATTAACGCTTGCTAAGGTAGCCTACCCAGAATGCAGTGCGGCAGCACTCCTCCCAGTGAGGAAGAGTAGACCAGACAGACCACTCGGATTTTTTTTCTTCTCGCCATTGGCTAAACCTGGTTTCTTACTCCCCATTCTCGACAGTTAGATAACAGTGTTACATAATGCCTGTTCTAAAAGGATGTAGGCGACTGTCATGAAACACCATCTCAGCTTCTGACAGGGGGACAAAGGCCACTTTAAACATTTCTGAGGGTAAAACTACTGAAAACGGATTAGGTTTTTTGGGGTGGGTGGGTATTTTATAAAACTAGACATATAAACAAGCCAATCAGTGAGCCAAGAAAATGTACTTTTGCACTGCAACTGAATTCAAACTAAAACGCAAAAAAATGGTCATATTGAGAAAACCATTCAAACAAAAAAAGAAAAATTCTCTTTTGTCCTGAAAATGTTCAAAAATGTTCTCTTGTCCTGTTCAATGCTTATAAAATATTTCAAGTCGGAGTTCCCTTAATATTAAAAACTTTTTAAAATCTAATTTCTAAAATAGAAAGTGTCACTATATCGTAGCCCTCTGAATGAATTAAGGTCACCTAAATGGAAGAATTCCAAAAATCTCCACGCGCCGGTTTTACTGACCTATGCAAGTCGCTGTAAGGACACGTGCTGCTCGACAAACGTTATTCAATCGAGTAACGCGCTGATGATGCATTTATGTAACAGGAAATATTAACTCTCAGTGCCATAACTTACCGCTCGCGTTAACATGGTTTAAAGACACGACAACAATACGTTCGCTTATATAAAGCACGAGGTTTAAATGTGCCCAAACTTTAAAATATATGCATGATGACAAAGTTTGTCTGGAAAATATAATAAATGTCACTACCCACTATCTGCAAATAAACCGGACACAAGACTCGTGTGCCTTGTGATGTGGGGGTTCTTACAAACAGATTAATAAAAGCTACCAATATTATGAATTTTTACACTATTATGTCCATGTTATGTGCGTGATCCATACTGTATTGTATGCACACTATCTGGTTAAATGCATATAATAATGCTGCATACAAATGGCTACATGAACATTACGTGTATAGGAGCGAGCGTCCTCTGACGGCAGATCTGGCACAGACAGCAGATTCCGAGCTGCCGAACACGCCCCCACGTGGAGCTGTCATGTCTCCTCCGGGACACGAGCGAGAAAGTAGGTCACCGCGCGCGCAGCCAGCGGCCGCCTCACGTGTATCCGCAGCCGGTGGCCGCGCCGTTCCACCGTGCCGAATTATGCAATGATGACATCACCGCCGCCCTCGGCCAATCAGCGGCGACGCACGGGGAGCGTAAACAGAGCCGCACATGGCTAGACTGGCCGGTCCATGTGAGTAGAGGAACTGCAATGCCGTTCGAGCCAACTGCTCCTGTAATGTCAGCAGCCGTACTGGCACTCCTAACCCAGATATTTTTAAGGCTGACACTGACTGGGCAAAACATAAATTTTTAAGACCCTGCACAAAAATGTTTTAAACGCGACGGCCAAATAAATTTAAGAAGGAGCATAAAACCCATTATTTTCGTTATGTATAATTATTTAGCACATAGCAAAATACAAGAACATCGTATCTACCAACACGTATCCGTAACGTCCAAATACAGTCAAGAATCCCCCGATTTTAACAAATCTGACAAACACCAGTACTTAAAATACAACGAAAGCTTGACAATTTCTTACCAGCTTTTGTCGATTCCATGTCCACCTTTAAAACTTTGCACGTTTAAAATGGGTGCCGTCTTGTTCGCCTTCACGAGCAATCGGGGAAGACGCCAGTCGGAAACCCTGGAAGCGATAAAATGCCAGGAAAGTGGCAGGATAAGCGCCGGACTGACAACTACCGCCCGGCCACTCTGCTAGCCAGCCAGCGTCGCGGGTCGGACTAGCGCACCGCCGTTTGAATCGCTTTGTCGCCGGCGATGTCTGATTTACTGCAGTCCAGATTCTGTTATCCGCAAAAAAACAAATAACCGACAGTCGTAGTCGGGTGCAGTTTAGCTTATAGCCAACTCGTCTTAATGAATGGGTCGATCCCCTTTTAACTTGCCTATTCCGCTTTCCTTCCTTCCGCTGAGGCTTCTCGGAAATGATCGCTGTTTATTTCTGCCCTGAATACATGTATTTAAAATATATATAAATGGGCTTTTCCCCCCTCCCGCTGCGAAAACAACGATCACCGAGCCGTGTTGTAGCAACTCCTCTCTGTCATCAGCTTGCTAGCACTGACTGTTCCGAGAAGTATGTTCACGGGCGACCATGTGACCCAGATGAGGGGCTCCTCCCTCGGCCCCGGCGCTGGAGTCGATGTAACCCACTGACACACTTTCGAAGTGCGGAAGAAACGGCGAAGATCGTCGAAGGGCACCTTCCAGCACCGACCTCTAGGAGACAGGGGAGGGGGGCACCCGACTGCTGGCGAAGCAGAAAATCCACCCCGTTTAAGAAAACTGACACATTCCTCTGGCCGAAGAATTGGCATTTATTCTTTACGGACAAAGCAATGTCTTTGCGCTAGCTTGCGTCTTAAAGTTAGCTTATATCTTAATATGTGGCTTCAGACACCTTTAAAAATGCACCCATGTATTTATTCATATGTGATTTAAGTGTATGCCTACGCATAACTCGGTAACGAATTCCGTGACGTCAGCTATTTAACATAGCAAGGACTGTGCAGAAGCAGTCATTGCTCGATCATATGTCCATATACGTACCACAGGTGTGCGATGATGTCCTTATTTGAATCATGGGCATCGGTCTGTGCCTATACTAGTCCGTGTTGTTTAAGACAGATTGCTTTTAAGACTGAGTCTATCCCAGGCAACGCAGGAACACAGGTCACAAGCCTGACATACACCTGGATGAAATACCAGTGCATCACGTTGCAGACGCTTGCGAACTCTCTCTCTCTCTCACACACTATGGGAATTTTAGAAATGTCATTTGGCCTAATATGTGGCAACACGCCTAACCACCGAACCACTTTGCCCGCTCCCCCTTTCGTAAAAATGCGTAACAAATTAAAATACGTCAAATCCTGTTATTTCTGTAGTCAAAATGCTGTGTTCATTTGATGCTTGAAATATACCGTGTGAGGAATTGTTTAGTTTTTTAATACATTTTTTAAAATACATGTGTCCTAGTTTTTATTTTTATTATTTTTTCTGCAACAGGATGAAAGCCCATTTAAACGCTGAGAGCAAGACATTACGTTTACGTTTCCCAGAGGCACTGTCGGATATTCTATTAGTAGGAACTTTAAAAGCCTTTTAAAACAAGTATAATGGTCTGAAACACTCTATTAGTGTGTCCACTTCAGACCCGAGTACTGGTGGCTATACGTTTTGAATAAAGAGATTGCCTTGAATCGATGGACTGCGTACGTACTTCTATGCAAAAACCTTATCTTAGCATACAACATCAATTTTACAAGACATTAAGGTTCAGGTCTCTGTAACTGTTAGAAAACTTTATAGTGCATTTAAAAATAAAAACCAGTTCAATTTCCAGTTCAGTTTTTAAAATGATTTCTCTCACAATAATATTATTATAACGATTCTCTCCCCAGTTAGAGTTTTGACTATACAATATGAGTGTTCAGTTTTGTGATTTTTCTGAGGCCTTTTTTGGCTCTGCCCTGTTAGGAATGTATGAACATTTGAGTACAGCCTCCCCAAGAGGCTGCATCTATTTCTGCAGGGGTCCCCTTTTCTCCCACACTATTACTCACACTACTACTCTTACACTATTATTCTCACACTATTACTCACACTACTACTCTTACACTATTATTCTCACACTATTACTCACACTACTACTCTTACACTATTATTCTCACACTATTACTCACACTACTACTCTTACACTATTATTCTCACACTATTACTCACACTACTACTCTTACACTATTATTCTCACAATATTACCCACACTACTACTCTTACTACCACTGGCTCTGTTTGCATTTTCTTCAATATCTGGTCACATCTACTGGCCGGCGAGGGGGCTTCAAATAAATACCAGAAATATTAACAGGACAACAAAAATGATTTGATTAAGTCAGTTCCTTAGAAGAATAATGTTAATGGTTACATTCTGGGATTTTCAACCTGCCTATACACGTGTCAGAGGCAAAATATTTTGATTGAGAACAAAAAGCTATGTACCATTTTAAATATCTTGTCTGTGGTAAAAATTGTATTTTCATTGAAATGTCCATCAAAATTTGGCATGGTATTGACCCCTGGTTATGTTGCATTAGGAGTGACATTCCATTTAGGGTGTACTCCTGCCCACCCCCTAATGACCCTGTCCTGGATCTGTGGCTGGACGACAGATGGACAGTTGTATTAGAAAACCTATCGGGACACTTAAAATATAGTGGTCACTTAGTGCCCTTTTGTGGAATAGGAGGTGCCTGACTTCTGACCTACAGAGGGCTTGGTGTCTATAAATCACCGTTGATAAATGTCCTGAGAAGAAGGTGGGGTGCTTGTTGGGTGGGGCTTGGTGTCAATCTAAATTTGGATGCCGCACAACATTCACGCTTCGTCCAGATGTCACGTAACAGGTTTGGAACTTGAACCACATCATGGCGTATTTGGTTTGGCATTTCTGCATGTGGTATTAGTCTTTAGACCTGAATGAACAATTTTGCTTTGGGGGAGATTGTACAGGACGTTCAGTCACCACCAACAAAGTCAACAGCTTTGAGGTGATGGTTCACTGTAACCCCAGTGCTACTTGGCACAAGCTCACAGACGCTTGGTTAATTCCTGAACCTCCATATCCAGCTTCTTGCTGGATTAGAAATTGTAAATATATATATTGTAAATATAAAGATGCTCTTGGTTTTTTTGTCCTTACCTTTAAATCAGGTTCCTCTCTGATTCTGACTGAAATCCTTTCTGTTCTCAGATTTAATTCAGGTGATGGTGAGTTGTATGTTTTCCCATTAGACAAGGATCAGGGTCACCCATGTCTGGCCTCCGTCAAGATGGCTTTCCTGTATCCATGTCCCAAAGTATCAGTGGGCAAATTACAATTACTGATGGCAATTCACTTTGACGAGGACCTTGTGCAAAATGTATATCGAAAATTTTAAATCGGGTGAAGTTTTTAAATGGGCTCCTTTCAGTGGTACTGTATGTGCACAGGTGCTGTCAGCGGAATAGCCTGTATACAACACAAACTTCTGGGCCAGGTGAAACGCTGCTGCAGTACAAGTCATGTGGTTATATTAAGATATGTCAGGGAAGTCGCTAGAGGGGACAAGACATCTGTCCAGTGGAAAATTGTGCAGAATAATATTATCTAGCAAATGCGCCTGAATTTGACCCACCCGACGAATTAAAACCCAGGGAACAGAATGTACGTCATTCGCAAGCATGTTGTACAGAGCTTGTTATAGCTGTTATCACGGGGTTTTGAATGTCGGGAATCTAAACATGAAACAATATCAATTCTGCAATAGTTTGTAGAACTATCTCTGGAGCGCCTGAAGTATCTGCAGGTTTTTTTTTCCATTCCAAGAAAATGAAACCCCTGATTCAAACATTCCTCCGTTCTCACAAAGCTAGTAATTTATAGCAAGCCCAGAGACCAGCTGTGCTTTAGCCCCCTGAGAATACGGTCTCTCTATAGCCTTGATCCACAGCAACCCCCGAATGACCCGTGCAGGACAAAGGAATGGAAGACGCGTCACCTTTTTCATGTCGAGCGTCACTGCATGTCCAGTGCGAACAGTAACACCGTGCAACATGAAGGTTCCTTCAGCGTCCACGGAGAATCGCTAACAATGACAGCCTGACAATTTGCGTGCTGTAATTTGACAGTAAACATACAACAAATACCCATTATGAATGTGAAAATTCTAGCAATTTCTTTCCAAATCCATCGGGTTATTTGAAAACTAACTATATAATTAAATAAGCGTCGAGATGATGTCCTTTATCCTTGAAGGTATTTGGCAAGAGGTACCTTTGTCGTCTAGGAACTAGTACTTAAACTTTATCTAAAGCAATTTGCAATTTTCACCTTTGTACAGAGCTTGATGTTCTATTGGAGAAATTCTGGTTGTCGGTTTACGTTGCTCAAGTGGCTTTAAGGCGAGGTCTGTCCCAGTTCAAGACCTTACCGCTTTACTACCCTACTAGGCTGCTTTAACTACCAGGATTTGACAAATACCTTTGCACAAAATACCTTTTTTCAGTTGTGAATACAGCCTGTTATGTTTGCTGCTGCGGGCTGCGGCTGCTCACTCAGCAATAAAAACCCCGCAGTCTTGAACCGGATTGTAATCTAACCAAGTCCACGCCGCGTCGGAGTTGCGGAGAGCGCGCTCACAAGGCGGCGCGCTCTCTTTGATCCAGCGACGGGAAGGACTTGCTCTGCTGTCTCACTTTCAAAGGTGGGTCACGCAGTAAGATGGCCCAAATATACAGTCGAATGCATTGTAAGTCAGCTTGCTGACCCGTTTTACTGGGAAATGGTCAGCAAGTACCTTTCTGGCTCATATTAAGAAAAAAACTGCTTCTGTACACTTCAACAGTGAGACTATTTTCTAAAAATTGTTCAGGTCTAATTTTAAATACTGTGTGATAGAACATAAGAAGAAATTTACAAACGAGAGGAGACCATTCGGCCCATCAAGCTCGTTTGGGGAGAATTAACTAATAGCTCAGAGTTGTTAAAATCTTATCTAGCTCTGATTTAAAGGAACTCAGGGTTTTAGCTTCCACTACACTAACAGGGAGACTATGCCATGCTCTACTGAGTTCTATAGTATTTATTATCTATAGTATACTAATATTGAAATAACCATTTGGCTGAACAGCATCCAGACCTGTTAGAATATAAGAAGGTGCTTAACTGGTGGCATATTAGGAATAAAGTCATGGACAATAAGGTGTCAGAATGCAAAAACGATCATATATTAACATTGCTTAAATATAATTAAGTGATGCTTATAATGGCTTTTGTACACGCAATTAAAATCTGCTTGTTTAAATTAATCATTTCTGGCAGCACACAAAAAACGAGCGGAAAATTAACAGTACTATATTACAGAAATTTACCTTTAATTTGGTTAAAGTCAATGTCAAATTCTGGAGCAAATTCCTTATTCCTCCACAGGGCAAAGTCAGCATAGGTGGTTTTCATGAATGATAAAAAGAGACACAAAAACATTTCTGTCCAGAATCTGTGATAGTTCTGCAGTGTCATGGCATTTCACAGATCCTCCTTACCTGCATAATAATGCATCTGCACCCTTGGCTTCCCTGGATGAGGCCATGACTCGGTGACACTGGATGAATGTAGAGCCAGGAGCACTAAATGTGCTTTGTGTTCTCTGTGCATAAGGTTGCCTCTCGGTAAGGCTCACACTCCGCTCCCCCGCTAATTCACACACAGCTGCTGCAATGGAAGGCCAGCCACCGCAAGCTGGCCTCGCAGGCCTTTCCTTAATGGCAGGTCTTTCCTTAATGGCAGCCTCTGCTGCTGGAACACACGCTTGTACTTTACAGCAGACCACCAAATGCATTTCCTGCTGCAATGATGCATCCACTACTGTAGCCTGACATTTTGGCACCAAACAGATGACCTCATTACCCTTGTAGGTACATAGTGTTCCTAGTACTTAAGGGGCGGAAATCTAATGGAACAGAAACATTGGACCAGTTCTGGTGAAACCAAAGGAATTCCATGATTTTACACATCTGGATCCTTCCCAGTACCAAACACAGCCTACCGACAAGCTGGTGGATAAGGCATCAAAATCCCAATGCAATGGTGCTTGCGGCACTTTTCCACCGCCAAGAACTGAGCTGTTCCGCAAACTGTTTACCATTGTGAATTATGCAAGCCGACATAACCCTGTTTACTAGCAGGACTGAAAGCATGACCAATCAGAGCTGGCTGTCTCACCGCCATCTAATTGGTCAAAATAGGAACATAAACTCACAAATGAGGCGCCGCCATACGGTCCATCAAGCTCGTCTGGGGAGAACTCAACTAATAGCTCAGTTGTTAAAATCTTATCTAGCTCTGATTCAAAGGAACTCAAGGTTTTAGCTTACGGTAAAAGACTATTCCATACTCTAACTACATGCTGTGTAAAGAAGTGCTTTCTCAAATCCAGTTTACAATGTTCTCCTGCTAATTTCCACCTGTGGCCATGAGTTGTATTTGGTTGATGAGCATCCAGACCCATTAGAATCTTATATACTTGTATCATGTCCACCCTTGGCTTCCTTTGCTCGAGGCTGAACAGATTCAGCTCAGCTAACCTCTCCTCGTAAGACATTCCTATAAGACCATAAATCATTCTTGTAGCTCTACATTGAACCCTTTGTGTGGCATCAATGTCCTTTGATACGGTGACCAAGCCCGCACACAATATTCTAGGTTGGGTCTTACCCGGGAATTGTATTATCTTAGCATCACCTCCCTTGACTTAAACTCCACACACCTAGAGATGTAATCTAACATCCGGTGATCAGCATCGATATTCATGGATTATCCAAAGGAAAAACGGGCATATTATATATATATTATTTATTATTGGTAGTATCACACATCGCAATGTATTGTTGCATTCCCAATAACTTGGTTGGAAATTTCCATCTACTTAAAGTCCAATAGAGCAGCTGAATGGAATGAATTCGTAATACAAGTTTACATGAGCAAATGCCAATTCCACTAGCGTTTGATGCCAACATAACAGCGATTCTCGCGAACAGTAAATAAGCGTCTTCAGTTTATGTCACCGTCGCTCTCAAAACCCGGCAACGCCTTCACCCTTCCGCAGTGGAAAACCGAAGTGAGCCGGAACCACGCTGTAACTAGTCTTCCATTTTCACATTAGCTGCGTATTTCGGGGTATTACCGATCCAGAGAGGGAAACAGAAGCAGGGAAGGCAAAGTACCAGGGCAAACAAAGATTTTATTGGACTGAAAGCTCTGAACATGCAGACACCCGTTAGCGGTAGCGACGCAGCTGCAGGGTGTTGCGGCGCTTCCAGGCCGCCCTGCGCGACCCTCCGATGGTCAGATGGAACTTGTGGCCCTTGCCCAGGCCGCGGCTCTTCTTGCCCGCGGACGTCAGGCCGCGCATCTCTCTGTGCTTGTGCACCGGCTTCGTGATCCATTGGGTGTCGGGGTTGCGTCTGATAGCCTTGTGGAAGGGGTCGATGAGGACGACCTCAAAGAACTTGTATGTGGAATCTTCTCCCACCCAGTAGGAGTTCAGGACCCGCAGGGCGCCACAGTGACGACCGGCACGCTCCTAACCAATCAAATGCACAGGTCAGATTACCTGTCCAATAAGCACTTTATATAATCGCATACAGAAGGCCTGCTAGTCACTGCCACCAATACAATTCCTTTGGCCACCGCCAAAGAGCAAAGAACTAGGAACAATGCCATCATTACTCTGAAAACCTATTTCATCCACGATTAAGAACCATAAACATTTACAATTTTAAGCAGAAAACACTGATTTAAATCAGCGATATTCAGCTGAGACTATCTTGGCCATGTGCCCCCCCCCACCCACATGACAATGCTACAGTGCACCATGGGGCTCACTGGTCCAAAGTTGGGACCGATGTCGGAACAGTGATTAAGGAGCATAGTCAGTGTGGCTGGGATCACAACACGCTTGATATTGCCTGCATCACCCTATAAGAGAAGGTGAATGACTGAGCTAGTCCACATTTTGGCTAAAACCTCATTTCTCCCATCACACGCCTGTCTCATAAGGGCCATGATTTCCCACCCTCACTCATTTCAGCCAAACACGAGAGACCCATCCTTTCAGATGTGCTGAACCAGTGATGGACTTGGGATGGGACACTGACCTCTGCGACGGACTGGAGGCTGCGGGCGAACTTGAGCTGGTTGACACCGTGGTGCACGGGCTTGCCGTAGGTGGCGCCCTTGGGCACGGGGCGTTTGCGGCCCCCGCGGCGCACGCGCACACGGTAGATGACATAGCCTGTCAAAGGGCAAAGACAGAAGTTCGCGATCAGGAGCATTCTGGGTAATCCGAGGCTTACCTGGTGTGGAACCTTCAACATAACTGCATTACGGATTTGCCTGTTTGTTGCCACATTTCAGCTTTATCGACACAGTTGTTAGGGTTAAATATTAAGACCTTCTGGACAGACTGAACATATGGCTGCAGGTTTTAAGGTGAACATAAAAATGACAGACAACCAGGACACAGGGGTAGCATGCCACAATGTTAAGAGGTCTAGCAGTTTTTTTTTTAAACCCAATGGGAGATATCAGCTCATGGTCTACGTCAGGGTTATTCAAATCACGGTCCTCGGGTCCGAGCCCTGCTGGTTTTCCAGACTTCCTTTACCTGTCAGTCAGGTGTGAAGCCTCTGACCAATCAGAATCAGTAATTATTAAACTAACTACCCGGTAGAACTGAAAACAAGGCCTGGATTTGGAATCGAGGTCCACAAATGATATGGTAAGCATCGTTGGGAGAATAGCTGACAGCTCATTAATCGCATACATTGGCCAAACGTTTCCATGATTTCTTAAAACAGGTACTTTTATATCAGGGCTCTTCAAATCTGGACCTCCATTTCAAATCCAGGCCTCTTCAGGTCTCTCAGGTAGTTTAATAATTCCTGATTGATTGGCCGGAGTCTTCACACCTGGTTCACAGAAAAAGGAAGGCTGGAAAATAATTATAATTAATTGCAATTATAATTAGCAGGACTGATTTAGAAGACAATGATTTGAATAGCCCTGGTGTACATTAATGCTTACCATTTACATTATTTAATTAAAAGATTTAACAGATGGACCGCGGGTTACCCACCTTGCTTGGCCTTGTACCCGAGTCGGCGCGCCTTGTCGGGTCTGGTAGGTCTAGGAGTCCGGTGCAGCGAGGACAGCTGGCGGTACTGCCAGCACCGGACGCGGAGCAGGAAGCGCATCACGTCGGACTGCTTTTTCCTCCATAGCTCCTGCATATACTTGTACGCTCCCATTTTGCCTCAGCTACAAGAAACGACAGGCGCCGTGTGACACACTGCAAAGCCACTCTGTACATGACAGCGACAAAAGCAGCATCTCTCAGTACGTAACCCTGTGTAACACACTGGTACCGGGAACAACCAAACAACCTGAAAGGCTGACTGTTAAGGATCAGTAGTTTAAACTGCATTCCTCCTCACGTTACCCGCACCTCGGAAAATCACATCCCCCTTATAGCAATACTGTAGGCCACGAGGGCAAATTAGCCGACAAGTTCGCTTAACCAGACAATACTAACATAGCTTTACAACTTAAAGTCAAATAGTTTAACTTAAGCCATTAACGGCCCGCTTGCAAGTTTATGTATATATCTATCTCTCCAATTACAATTCAAAGTTACAAGACATTAATAACTGCAAACCGCGGCCCATGCACATCCATAAAAACAGTGCTCAAAATGATACTCTTCGATATCGGACTTCAACAAAATAAAGGTTGTTCCCGCGCGTTACAACATTTAATTTCTTAAATTCTAAATAGCGGGACGCGATGACTTTGTTTAATAAGTGATATTAGATTGATTCTAAAGCAGAATTATCAGGCTTACTTACATTCGTGATGGCGTACCAGCCGGAAAGGGAGATTTATTTTACCCATCATGCTTTATTAAAACGTGATGAAGCCATTTCCTACGGCGAGGAGGCTGCTGGGAAATGTAGTCGCACATTAGGCCATTTATATTTACTAATGGCGTTTTAAATTATTAACGTTTATTTTAAAATATTAACGTTATTTTCAAATAAGCGTGATGTATGTGTTCATTTTGGTGCTCAGTATAGGGGAAAATCGGTTTTTATTATCCAGTAAGACAGACAAGGTTGTGAGCTGCAGTTTCAGAATAGGGCTTTCCCTACGTCAAATAAAAGCACCGCCAAATAGTCTATAAGAATTATAAATGCATATCTGCATCCAAAGGAATGATCACGTCTCATTGTTGCAGAAATATTGCTCAATACACGCATGCAGATACACATTTAGTTCGCTTTTTAGCTTCCTGGTCTGAAAACGTCACTGCATAGGCAATGAAGCATGTGCATTAAATTGATATTGGACTCTGCAGCTAGCCAGCTAGTGCCATCGAAATATCCAGGTCCTATTACCCGTCTTTCACAAATAGCTAGATAGCTGTTTGTATTACGAGGTAAAGCTTTTATTTCTTTTCAGCTTTTGGGACACGCAATAAGAAAGCCCGAGGTTATTAATTCGTCTTATTGAATATGACATTGTTAGCGATGTAGTAACTATGTGACAGCTGTTTCCGTCTGGCATGCTCATCCTCTGCTATTGCGCCGGATCGATTGATCTCCTTTCTCTCATTCTTTTGACAATGCAAGGTCGCCACAGTGCCATGGGTAAGGGCTGCAAAGTTGTGGTTTGCGGCTTGGCGTCAGTGGGAAAGACGGCGATTCTAGAGCAGCTGCTTTACGGGAATCACGCAGTGGGTGAGTTTGTGATGGTGAGTTTGTTTGGTGATGGTCAACTCTGGCTGCTTCCAGGGATACTATTGTCGCATTTATCAAGAATATAATAATATCATCATCATCGTTATTATTTTTTATTATTAATAATATTAATATTAATTGTTAGTGTTACTGTTATAATTGTATGTATTTTTAGTTGGTGGTTGTACCGGTATATAATACCTACCGATTATATTGCCTGAAAACACCCTCGAAACTATTACACATCTGGTTTTTCCTGAAACATGCACTGTTGACATTCAGTTGCAACATTCTCAGTTTCGTTTAATTATTTTAGCTTTTATCCATGTTTAATCTTCGTGCCTACAGGTATTAATTATGTAAAGCAGTTTCTTAAAATCTTGCTGTAGCGTTCATTCTCATGTATAGTGTTTAATGTCCCGAGCAAATGAATTCAACAAACTGTATAACTAAACTGCGACATACACAAGTTATGCCTATTTAGATAACGATAACGTTGAGACGTGGAGATTTCTGTTATTAAGTAAAAATATTAAAGGTAAGCTAATTGAAATGCAAGCAGTGTCTAACGTTAATGAATATGTATTATAAATATACACCATTATACGGGCTGAATAAGCACAGAATAAAGAACAGCTGTCGGCATTGCACTTCCATTAAATGCATCGTTATTTACTGCTCCGCGATAAATAAAAATAAAAAAAAGGAGGGGGGGTTGAGCGCTGTTTTTAGGTAAATTCTGCTTTAAAAGCTGTTTGTTGGTTTAGTCATTATTTCACTGCAAATTCAATCCAATATTAGTATATAGAGCAATTTAAATAACTCGTCACTGACGGGAAGCATGCGTTATTTGACGGCATTCCTTGCTTGTTAAAAAATGACTTGTTTATATATATAAGAAGTATTAAAATGAATGAAAGCAGCTCCTTCAGAGATGGTCTTGGCTTCTGGACAAAGGCTCACCGATGCGTGTGACCAAGAGTTAGAGGTTGTGAGGCAATGCTCAATGGCTCCATCCCAGCCACAAGATCCAGATGTTCACTTCCAGCTGTTTTTCTTGCTGTCAGGTCCTGGCAGGACTCATACCACCCACAACCATCTGTTTTTTCCGGGTGTCTCAGTCTCGCTGCCCGGTGCTATTGTTTGGTGTCTCTGTCTGCTTTTTTTGCACAGGTCACCGTCACTTTTCAGACTCTCCCTTATGACATCAGAATTTGCAGAGTGAGCCTCTCTCGCCAAACCTGCTCCATAAACTGAACGTAGTCACTAAATCTCGCCTTGTTTGCTGTGGTGACACAATGCATCAGCCTTGAGGTGTATCCAGTATATATCATTGCCTGTGAGGTTTATTGCTTAGTTGAGAAATTGCCGCAATCAACCATAGGTGTTCCTCATGGGGAAGGATGGGGTGGGGGGGGGATCCTATGCAATTTTCATAACGGTGGTGTTATGAAATATTTTCCAGAATTTTGCTTAAAAAAATATAAATAAATTTGTCAAGAGAATCTCTTTCTCATCTACTGCCCAAGAGGAAAAAACTTTTAGGTGACGATTTCAGTTGCATACACATAAATGAATGTATACAGTTAATACTGAAACTGATGGGTAGCCTGTATATAGGTACAACATATGAGGCCACACAGGAAAAAATGAGTGGACAGATTTGATTCCATCACTTACACTGTCAGAAAGAAGGGTAACGTTCTGGTAGTTTCGTTCCCCAAGGTACAAACAACATTAACGTACCTCCAATGCTACAAAAATGTTCCTCAGAGTCAATTTCTTTACCTTAAATTAGACTAAAAGGTACATTTACCTACAGCTCCAGTGACTTCAAAGGTACAAATTGGTACAATTTTTCTGACCATGTAATGGATCCATCCCTCTTCCTCCCAGCATTGAAGTCACAGTGACCCCCTTACACTGTGACCTTGGTCACTGTGACCTTGGGTTAATGAAATGTTCTGGGAAATGAATAAATGAAAGAGAATATTTGATTGGGGAAATTTCATATATATTTAATATATATTTACTTCAAGTAAATAGTGGAAAGTGATTGCATTTTATTTGTAAATTTAATTTTATTGAGAGGTATACTGACTAATAAAAAATGTATCCTGTTTGTAACAGGCTCTGAGTCCCGTAAGACCTTAGAGGATGTCTACGTTGCCTCTGTTGAGACCGACCGTGGTGTAAAGGAGCAGTTGCGGCTGTATGACACCAGGGGGCTCCACGATGGCTTGGAGCTCCCCAAACACTACTACTCCGTAGCCGATGGCTTTGTGCTGGTCTACAGTGTAGACAGCTTGGAGTCATTCAAGAAAGTGGATGTACTGAAGAAAGAAATAGACAAATCCAGGGACAAACGGGAGGTATGGCAAACATCTCAGGTGAAGGTGTCATTTTCAATAAGTCGTGATGTAAAAGTGATGCTTTTTCAATGGGGACGCATATTCTGTAAGAGGAAGACTGGAAGATTGTGGTGTCTTTCACCTTGTGGATTGTTGTACAACAGCGTTTCTCAACCCAGTCCTCAAGGACTCTTAGAAAATCCATATTTTTGATCCCACTCAGGTTCTAGCACACTTCCACCAAGCATTCAACACCAGATATCTGGTACTGGTGTGTTCAGACCTGGGACTGCCTGAGAGTCTCTGAGAACTGGGTAGAAACACTGCTATGGAAGGTTTATGACCGAGGATGGCGTGGTGATGCAGTGAGTAGCTGTGTTGAGGGTCCCCTGCTATTCTTGCGATGGGCTCTAGGCCCCCCCCATATCCTTGTACTGTATAAGCGGTCAGAAAATGGTTGGATGTGTGGTTAATGAGTAACTGTCATGGTTTATGGCCTCGGTCAAATAAAATGTGTCGATGTGGTGGGGCAGAGATTTCACATTGGAATGAGACCCAGGAAGCAGTAAAAAAACCAACACGAATGGGTCATTCCATCTGAATTCAACAAATGGACTTTGCATCACTATTTTTAATTTTGATGAAATTTGGCATGTGAATTACACACACCATCCCGAGCGCAGAAACGTTCCTCACACATAAAGAATCCCTTTGAGATATAGTGCCTTCTACGTCCTGGGCAGCAAAAAATGATGAATCACAGTGCAGCGCAGGTCCCTGGCTTAGCTTCAGCTCACTGGCTCAGAGTACTTGTGCACAAGTGCAAAAACGGTGATGTAGAAACCGTTTTGTGAATTTGTTGAATTAAAATGGAACGATCGTCCGCCAATCTGTCTTCCCCCGTTCCCCGGCACCACACAGGTGATGGTGATCGTTCTGGGGAACAAGACAGACCTGCAGGAATGGCGGCAGGTGGATGCAGAGGTAGCGCAGCAGTGGGCGCGAGGCGAGAAGGTCCGGCTGTGGGAAGTGAGCGTGACGGAGCGTGACTCCCTCATCGAGCCCTTCACTGTCCTCACCAGCCGCCTCACCCAGCCCCAGAGCAAATCCTCCTTTCCGCTGCCTGGCCGCAGAAGCAGGGGCACGCCCTCCAATGACATGTGACTGCCACACGGTGGCGCTGTGCATGTGGCCAAACATACCAGGGCTCATTGGAGCGTTAATGGGCTGAGAGCAATAATGCAAATGATACTGTGGTTTATTATATTTAATTTTTTTTTACTTCATCTCCTTGGAAATCGGTCATCGCCCCGACCACAACTAAAGAAGATATGTTCTGGGTTTGTCCCTCTGTGTATTTTGTTAGTTTTGTGTATTTTTTTTTTTTTGTAATTTATTTTTTTTCTGCACTTTGTGTTCAGCTTTTAAAACCCGGTGCAGTGTAGAGATGAAGCAAGCTAAGTCACAAATATTGTCACATGAGCCAGACGTGTGAAGCAGCGGATTCGTAGCCAGTCGTTTGCGCAGAGACGTTGGACGTGGTCTCGCTGCGTACGGCTGTTATTCTCCAAGCCAGAAGGGGAAATTCAACGGGGAATTCCATCCCCAGCGTGTCAGAGCACTTTGAGTATTACAGTATGAAGAAAAGGTGGTTGGAAATAAAATAATTATTAAAGACGCTGTTCTGCGACACTGGTGTTTTACTGCAGCATCAGAATCTTGGAAACGCTTCCCACACTAAGCCGAAACATTAACAAAGAGTGCCGTTTGAACATTTCCATTGTTCGTTTTTTTCCATATTTAGTATGAGACGGCAACACATTGTGGCATGTAGGAGGGATTTGATGTGTCCAGTGACACACATGCATCAGTCACTCTTCCAGGAGCTGTGGAGTTTTTCCCGTTTTTTTTTTTTTTTTTTGATATACCTCTTAACAATAACTGGCCTGTGACAGCACAGGAAGTCATTTTTGCATGTGGTGACTGTTAACCATTCAGAGAACTGAGTGAGTAATTTACCTGACCTTATGTGCCTAGAAATAGCTTCCCTTTTTACTGCATGAGGAAGATTTGTAGCCGTTCTGAATCACACACAAGTCTGCCGCCACGTGCAGCAGGGAAAACATTTCTCACCCTGAATGTTGAGCAGATCAGAACCTGGTGGGATCACAGTCTCCAGTAGGACTTTGAGACCCAGCATTCCAAACACATGTGGATTCATGGAAATCCTTCAAACTACAGATAGGAGGCTCATAGGTGCCTGTTTGCGAATCGCAGCCATTCCTCGGATTTCAGTGTCAGCTCCGGCTCCCCTGATTCTCCCAGCTGAGACTGCAGGCATCAGGAATCAGGCTGCACTACAAACACACAGAACGGCAAAGGGAACGACGGAGAGGTTTGGGAGCCACGCAGACAAATATCTAGTTTGGCTATTGCACTTTAAATACCAATTTAAGGTAAGAAAAACAGTTTTGTTAGGATCAGATTCAGCGATGTAACATTATTGCTCAATAAAAGGGATCACTTACACACTGTAAACATTGTTTACCCCATCAGTTACTTGTTCCACCAGCATTTGCAGACATTTTCACCCCATGGTACAAGTACATCTACACATTAGAGGTAAATTACACACGTACTGTGTTTGAAATGGGTCATTCATGTGACAGGACCTTAATAATTCTACTTAATATTGCTACAAAAAGGATAGTAGAAGCAGCTAGTTTGTGTTTCATGCATAATGTAAAGATGAGATTTAGACCAGGGGCCTGTGTAACAAAACTGGTTTAAAAAAGTCAGGGTTATAAGGTTGGTTTCAGCTTAACAGAACCAAAAAAAAAAGCATAAATGATATCACGACGCTGACTATCAGCGATTTACCAGCCAATCAATCAGCCAATCAAACAGGCATGGATCACAACAGAGCTACATTTTACAATGCAGCGGAACATGGATTTATTATGGTAAAATATGAAGAATTCTAAAGTAAAATGATGGCGAAGGGGGGACACCGTGGTGGCCGGCGAAGCGAAGAAGGCTGCAGATCGCTGGCAGCGCTAACACATACGTACAATTTGACTGTCATTAAGATAATCGTTTTAAGTTTGTGGCTTTGTGGTTTTTTTAATCATTTTTCATAATTCTTAGTCTTTTTATTCATATTCATAATCCCTTTGTTTTTGATTCAGTATTAAACTTACCCTTCAAAACCCATTCAACAGTCCTTTATCTCACACACACACACACACACACACACACACACACACACAGGTATGCGACTGGGGAAGACAGAGGTGTTGACATGTTAATATTTATATTAGCCCGTAGTCAGGAGAACCAAGGGATGTGCAAGAACTACCAACCAACAAAAGTGCTGAACCAATATCTCATTACAGGAGAGATTGCCTTTTTCATAGATATTAACAAGATTTAGCACATACAGCGAAAATGGCTTGAAACATGAAAATGATCAGTGCGCAATTCTGCCTGTGGATAGGGCTGCACCATATCAGATCTCCATGTAATCGTGATTAAATGTCGCATGTGCAATAATCACAAGGGCTTTAGATGACAGGCGTAACATTTGCCCGGACACCAGCTTTTCAATACTATACAGGTGTTTACTTATGGCCACATGCAGCACTACCTGCCTGTGATTAATAACTGCCTGGCTTGCTTGCTGAAATACATTTCAGCGGGAAGACTGAATATCAAAGACAAAGCTAACTTTACTGCAGTCACAGACAAGCCACTTTGAGAGTCTGGGGAAGCCCATTTGTTACATCAGGAAATATACAGACTTCTCTTTGATTGGTCCAAGATCTGTGAGGCTGAAACCTAACCTGCTCTGCAGCAGTTTTTGCTCTGTAGTGCGAGTTACTGTGGTGATGAATCCGGCTAACCAGTAAATCAGGGCTGTTGTATTGAAAAGCGAGAGTTACCTCTACTTAGCCTCAAAGTTATCTGGCTAAGCAAGACATCCAGCTTCACAATACAGGCCCTGGGATTCAGGTGCATGCCAATAATGTTTAAACCCACTTGGAAACCATTTGTAACCGATACTTTATTAAAAAGTCCACACTGAAAACACGCGTCGCCAAGGGAACATGCCATCGTACCATTTTACAAGCGGTCACTATGCAGAGATGTAACATTCAGCTGGAAAATAGCCGGAACAGGAAATAAAAACTTACCGGGACACTTTATTGCCAAATCGCATCAATCGTTTGTCCTAACATAAGTTAACAAGGGAGCCACCAAAATAGCAAGAAACAGGACTTCTATTTTTAAACAACGATCCCCTCACCCGCTTCCCCCCCCCCCCCCCCCCCCACTCCCACCAGCCCCTGAGAGGTTGCCTGGGGAGCCTCGCAGGGTCCTGGCTATGTGGCGTATCTCTTGGTCCACTGTTTGGCCGTTCTGTCGTGTTCCGCCCTGTTTGTTGTGTATTGAGTGGCGATGCTCCCCACCAAGGGGTCAGCTGCATAGAGAGAGAGGGCGACACAGTCAGGCCACGTCCAACCACGTCCCTGCTAGTCGGGGGGTGACTTACAAACACCCAGTTCCTGAAGGGTAAATGTCAGCATTTAAGCACTGCAATTTCCCCACCTAAAAAGCTTCACAACATTTATTCTAGACCTTTGGAAGACTCAGAGGGGCTGATCTGGGTAGGAAAAGAGCAGATAGGCGCCAGCTGGGGTACCCACAATGCACTGCTCAAAACACAATGGAAGGCAGCATCAAAAGCTGGTCAAAAGTTAAAGTTTTTAATTCATGTCCCATGAGTTTTTGATATAATAAATCCATCCATCAGTCCATTCTCTGTAATCGCTTATCCTATTTAGGGTCGCGGGGGGTCCGGAGCGAATCCCGGTGGCTACGGGCGCAAGGCAGGGAACAGCCCAGGATTTACCGCCAACCCACTGCCAGCTCCAGTTGACCTCAGCATATTTTTGGACTGTGGGGGGAAACCGGAGTACCCGAAGGAAACCCCACGACGACACGGGGAGAACATGCAAACTCGAACCCAGCTCCCAAAGGTGTGAGGCAACAGTGCTAATCACTGTGCCGCTATTCCACTCCATGTGATGAATCATCTCTGGGAAAATATCAAACTATATGATAAGGAGGACATCTTGATAAGCATCAGCCGGGTGACCAAGCAAGTACAGTTCAGACAAACAGGAAGCTTATTTCACAACGAAAATATTTAGCATTACAAAAAATTTTTATAAATTAAATCAGGTTCTCTCGATATAATAAATTTGTTCATTTCACGTGCAGCGGAAATGCATCTGGGTCCTATAAGAGGAACACGGTCATGCTGAAACTTGGTGAGTCCCATCCCAATATATTACTCCAGACTAGATGTGGGAACACATCAAACCACACTGGGAATACCACTGTCCCAGTCTGGGGGGAGCAGTGGCTGAATGCCTGACGGTAATACTCCTCTGTGGGGGGGCGGTTCCCGTGGTTCTCACCAGGGTTGCAGTCGGTCAGCAGGGAGCAGATGGACAGCAGCACCTTGGAGATGGTGAGGGCGGGGCTCCAGTTGTCCTTCAGGATGTCCAGGCAGATCACGCCCTGGCTGTTGATGTTGCAGTGGTAGATCCTCGTGCGGAATGTCACCTGCAATGGAAAAGTTTAAAGCCAGTCCGTAAAAGCCTTCCCAGGAAATCAACGCTAACCTGAGAACAGCGAAGACCAAAGCCGGTCCGTAAAAGCCTTCCCATGAAATCAACGCTAACCTGACAACGGCGAAGACCAAAGCCGGTCCGGAAAAGCCTTCTCGGTTATAAATAAGCCCACCGTACTTCCATACTGTACTTAAACACACATGTTGTTCCTGATTTAAAGTACAAATTAAGCAGAAGTTGAGATGGAGGATCAGAAATATGAAAACAACTAATAACGATTGGCAAACTCAAATTTCACACCTGCTTCAGTTCCTTTCAACAATTCTTTAACATTTTTTTTAATTCTTTGCGCAATGAGTATTCAGAAAAGTCATAATTTCTGCATCTTTCAAAATAAGACATACATAAAACATACTTTGCCGTATAAATTCAGCAAAACCCTTCTGGCTACAGAACACCATAGACCTTAACAAAAGACTCATTATCTACTGAACCAAAACAAACGAAAACCTCAAGTATAAAACCCAGACACCTGGTGGCATGTGGGAAGCGGAACAGACACCAATCTTGCTTAGAATCACATTCTGTGTTTGTTTCATTTGGAAACAAAAATAATGGACAAGACTTTTTATTAAAGAAATTCATAGTTTGACCATAATCTGACCATTCAAACATTTTGGAGGCAGCGTGTGGCTCCGCAGGCCAAGCCTCTGTGCCCGTGATCAGAAGGTTGCCGGTTCAAGCCCCGCCTCAGCTTATCTGTGGGTCCTTGAGAAAGGCCCTTAACCCCCAGCTCCCTGGCTGCTACTATGCTACCTGCAGAGAGCAAGTTGGGGGAGGCATACAGAGAATTTACCCATGGGGATCAATAACGTATCAATTATTATTATTATTCTGTGATTAAAGGAATCCAACAACACAGAATTCCCAGGGACACCTGGCAAACACTCACAGTCGCATGCCCTGACTGACACACCGAGGGTCACACTGAGGCCCTTGTCACTAGGGCTGATCACTCCCACTAATCGACAGAACAACAGTAATGTAGCAAATTATAAAATCAGGAACTTGAACACCGACCCACTTCAATAATGTTACAGATGAAATAACACGCTTGATGACCCTTCTTATTTCTGCACTGGCGTATTCGGTCATTACCTTGGGCGGTTTGAAGGGGTAGTCGGGCGTGAAGGCGATGTCGAGGAAGAAGACCCCCCCCTCGTACACGGACCCCGGCGGTCCCAGGATGGTGGATCTCCACTCGTAGATGTTGTCTCCCTTGGGCCCCGCACTGAAACGGGGAGGGGGGGGATAAAAATAAATGAGGATCGCGCACAGACAGCATTTGAGTGCTTTATATCCATCCATCCATTCATCCATCCATCACAGGATCACGAGGACCCTGGAGCCAGCGAGCCAAGGACACACAGAGGGGACTAATTTACTGTATCCCCAAAACAACTGACCAGGAACTCACCAAAATACACACGATGCCAAACACAGGCTTGGCACTGCCACCCTACAGAGACCATGAGACGTGGGAAGTCCAGTGATGTTCAGTGACACAGAGTAACACGGCTGCGAAGCCACCTGAGTCAAGCTTTTCTATGGTTACTATTTACATAAAAGGGCCTATCATACTTGAAAGCACTGTGGCTTTAGTGAGACCAGAAGCTGAGTCACAGGACAGCAGTTTAGTCATTTAAATAATAAAAAAATAGTACTAATAAATAAAACTACTAGTAATCTGGCTGTATGTCCGAAACCTGCTATTTGAGACAGCTGAACCCCAACACACAAATTCTCTGTCAGATTAAGAAATGAGTATCCACTTTCATATTTTTAAAACTGTGAAATATCAGCAACACTCCACTGTACAAACAGGCACTGAATGCGATGTGAAGGCACAGTCCACTCAGATCTTCACTGAATGCCTGGAGGATTCGGCCGGGGGGGGCCTTTTGTCACCTTCCATCCAAAAAATCCAGATCGTTCCTATTCAAACCGCTCCTCTGTGCCTTTTCCAGCGCGATGCAGAAGCGACCAGCTGCTACACGGCGCTGACAGACATCACTATAAAAATTCTGCCTGATGTTCTTGATCCTACGAGGGTCCGTCTCCCACCCCGAACCCCCAAACGTTGGATTCCTGTGACAGCAGCCATGTTTCTCCACGGATAATTTCCCCCTCTACAGCTTCCTGACATTTCCCAAAAGTGTAACACCCAAAGAACGCTGCCCCTGCTTACAGAGTAAGGTCCTCTCTCGCCATTTGCCCCTACAGGTCATGGTCACCCCCCCCCCCACGTAGCCAGCAAGCACACTAATGCCACACTAATATGCTAAATACACACCAGGATATTAATCATCATAAGTGGCACTGGGCTTTGGGGAAGGGGTGGGCTGGGGGGGCAGCTATCTGGCATGGCCTGTCCGTGGACATGTGGGGGTGAGGGGGCTCAAAGTGGCAGTTAACCTGTAGGTCCCAAGCTGAACACAAAGGTGCAAATTAAATTCCTGGGGGGGGAGGATCTCTGCAAATGTATTAAAAAGCCCAACCGGTAGCCCTACACAGTTATATTTAAAAGGTGACTTTTTGGTGGGGGGGGGTTACTCTTCAAGCGGTGAGCTCTCTGCGCTGCATAGACACGGCACCTTCCAGGGCGCCAACAACCCCAAGGATGCCGGACACCCCCCC